GGGTGGATGAGTGGATGGATGGATGGGTGGATGGGTAGATGGATGGATGGGTAGATGGATAAATGAATGGCCTGATGGATGTGGGAGTAATGATTGTTGGCTCTGACATTCAAACTATCAGACCAGGATAATGGAGACCCAATATCTAGGACTGGTGAACCCTGACCTTTCAGGGTAATGTTCTTACTGCCTTGCCACCTAGCAGAAGAGAGTCCCATTTACATAAAATACCACAAATCTCTCTCATTGCCAGGGAGCCCCAGACTTTGCCACATTGTCCTCTTACAGGAGGCAGGTGGTCACTTGCAGCAGCTACTAGCCAACAGGCAGAACAATGCACTGGACGTTCTTGAGACAATGGATACCGCCAACCCTGAAAGGGCTTCCTGGACCCCACCTCCCCACTGGACCAGGACCTGCCTGGCGGCTCCAGGCAATTGGCTCACCCCTGTTGCATCTCTTGTAGGTTCTCCAGTAACAGCATTGGTGATGGAGGCGCCAAGGCCCTAGCGGAGGCCCTGAAGGTGAACCAGGGCCTAGAGAGCTTGGAGTGAGTCTGCCTGACCCCCTCCAGGGGTGCTGTGGGTGGAGGGTAACTCCCCTGGGGTCTCCATCTAGCTGCTGGTCAGACCGTATCCCTGGCAGAACCCAACCAACCAATCTATCCTGATGTCAGTCTCTCCCCCTCCACATCTACGGTGCCAGCTCCACTTCCCCTGGACGCTAGGGGTTTGGTTGGCTCTGGAGTTTTCTATGACTAAATGCAGTGCCCATAGAAAGCTGGCACAGGTGACTGGAAGCCAGCCACCAGCTGCCATGGTATGGGGTGGGGTGGGGAGCTTGGCACTGCCTGTCATTTGCTCTGGGGACTTCAGACACAACTCATGCCCTTCAGAGGCCATTTGGAGCCACTCACATTAAGGCAGAGTCTACACTTCAGGGCTGTGGTGTTTAATTTAACCCCTTCACCTGACCGAGCCTCTTTAGGGTGGGAAAGGAAAGAGGTGATGAGAGATGCAGGTGGAACCTGCCCCAGGGACCCTCCCTCCCTGCTGAACCCAGCTCATGGCTCAGGCTGGACATCCTGGGGTCTTGGGACAGCCTCTGGGGACAGCCACGTGAGCCCACCCTCCATGTGCAGCTTGCAGAGCAATTCCATCAGCGACACGGGGGTGACAGCACTGGCGGGGGCCCTCTGCACCAACCAGACCCTCGTCAACCTCAGGTGAGTCCTGTCCACTCCTCTCCAACCACAGCATTTGTTACCATGGGGGAGGGTCTGAAAGGACAAGGGGACTCGGGAAGTCAGGCCCATGGTGGGAGCCCACACATGCCTCCCTGAGGTGTTAGGACCAAAGGCAGGCAGCCTTGGGAGTGGGTCACTCTTGCTCTCATGGGATGGGGGGCAGCCTGTCCCTCAGGTGGAGCCGCTGCCTTCTCCTTTCCCACATGCTGATTCTTCAGGCTCCCACGGACTCACCTGCCTCTTGCCCCTCTCGCCTGGAGATCCTGGCATCTTCTCTCCTCTTGCTACGCCCCTGGGCCCTGCTGGTGGGACAGGCTCCTTCACACCTCACCTCTGGTCATTCAGGAGACTCAGGGCCCCCTGAGTTTGCTTGAGCTTTGAGGAGCCTATGCATCTGGCTTGTCGCCTGGCTGAGGCCTCCACCTGCCAGGTCGGAAGGTCAGGGGCTTCCTTCTCTCTCCTCAGCCTCCGAGAAAACTCCATCAGTGCGGAGGGAGCCCAGCCTCTCGCCCGTGCCCTCTGTGCCAACAATACCCTAAGGAACCTGGAGTACGTAGTGGGGGTGAGGAGGGGCAGGGCTGTGCTCTCTGAGGGTCACTTCTGACGGGGCTCCTAGGCATGCAGTCATGGTGAACCATGCCCCCTCCCCCACCTGGTGTTTGGTGCCAGCCCTGACCTGGTTCCTCCCACCTCTGCCCTCCACTTCCAAGTGGAGACACTGGGCCAGTCTCCCTCCTGTGGTGACAAACGTGCAGCACAAGTGTTAGGTGCCCCAGGTGGACCTCCCAGTGGGAACCTTGGCTCTGCCAACTCCTGTCTGTAACACCATGGCACCTTTCCAAGCCGGTGACACTTGCCTTGTCGGGGTGCTGTCAGACTCAGCACAGCCAGCCGGCCACTTCACATGCCAGGCACAGAAGCGTGGTCCTGGGGCAGGTGGTCTGGGTTCACCAGTGACCAAGGCTCCCCCTTTCTCCTAGCCTGACTGCCAACCTCCTCCACGACCGCGGAGCACAGGCCATTGCGGGGGCCTTGAGAGAAAACCGTGCCCTCACATCTCTTCAGTGAGTCTGCCCGCCGCAGGGCCCAGTCTCAGGGTCTGTTCAAGTTTCACGTCCTGCCTCCTGGGGCTGACAGGCAGACAGGCTATGCCTCTTGTGTGTCACGTGCTCTGTGCAGGGTCCCCCGTGTGAGTGGACTGAGCATGGCGGGAATTGTCCTGCCCACTTCAGTGGCCAGGATCCAGTCCTGTGAGCACCACCTGCCCAGATGTCAGACCCTCTGTCCCAGGCACCCTCGTTCCTGGGACCCTTGGGACACCTGATCTGCTCCCAGGCTATGTGCTCACGGGTGTCTGTCTGTTCAGCCTGCAGTGGAACTTCCTCCAGGCCAGCGCTGCCAAGGCCCTGGGACAAGCTCTCCAGTTCAACAGGACCCTGACCAGTCTGGAGTAAGTGGGGCCCCGTGGAGGCTGCTGGGGGAGAGGGGACACACCGGTGGTGCAGCCACCACCAGAGCCCATTTAGGATGCTTTCCTCTCCTTCAAAGTGGCCCTAAGTGCCCCCACCATCCTCCATGTCCCCCTGCCCCCCTCCCTAGAGTTCACGGGACGGAATCCTGTGTCCTCTTGTGTCCGGCTCCCTTCCCTCAGCATGTTGGCAAAGTTAATCCACACTGTCACATGATCTGCAACGGCATTCCTTTTTCTTGGCTGAATAAATATCACATAGTATGAGGGGGCTTCAAGAAATTTTGTAGAAACATTCCATTTTTTCCATGGACTTTTTGAAGCTCCTTCATATGGACTGAAAGGAGCCCTGGTAGTACAGTGGTTGTGCATTCAGCTGCTAACTGAAAGGTCAGTGGTTCAAATCCACCAGCCGCTCCAAGGAAGAAAGACATGGCAGTGTGCATCCATCCAGATGACATCCTGGTCGGAAACCCCATGGAACAGTTCTGCTCTGTCCTCCAGGGTCTCCACGAGTCACAGTCACTGAGCGGCACTGGGTTGAGTTTGGGTTTGGTATGGATAGACATTTTGTTTCTCCATTGGTCTGTGGGTGGACATTGGAGCTGTTTGCACCTTTTGCCTATTGGGCATCAAGCTACTATGAGCATGTGTGTACGCGTTTTCGTGTGTGTGGTTTGTCCCTGGGAGAGGGCTGCTGGGTGGTATGGTAACTGTGTTTGGTTTGTTTTGGGTACGTTGAACCTAATGAGGAGTCCTGCTGGCATAGTAGTTCAAATGCTCAGCTGCTAACAGAAAGGTCAGTGGTTCAAACCCATCAGCTGCTCCATGAGAAAAAGATGCTCAGAGTCTGCTTCTGTAAAGGTGTACTGTCTCAGGGACCCTTTAGGACAGTTCTACTCTGTCATGTACAGTCACTAGGAATCACAATCGGCTCAGAGCAGCGGTAAAACGCGGGGAACCCAGTGCGCCTCATCTTCAGGTTCGCTCCTCTAAGGCTGGTCCCCTCTGTTCGTAGACTTTCCATCTCTTACCTCCCACTGTTCTTACGCTGCGGCTCTAGGCCATCTCCCTCCACCAGCTTTCCTGTTGACTCCCTCCCCTCCCAGGGCTCTCTACCTCACATCTGCCCTAAACCTCCCTCCCGAGCTCCACACTCACAGGGTCACTGCCCAGTCTGCCCCTTTGCTGGGATTGTCTCTCCCTGTAGCTCTTCACAGGCCCGCCTCTTTCTCGCTTCTCCATCGCCTGACTAGAGCCAGCAGACCAATGCTGCCCCCCATCCCACACCCACGTCATCTCTACATGCTGAGCTTTCTCCTGCCCAGCACCTCCCTCGACTGTCCATTTCCCTCTGTCCCTCTGCCACCGACAACATTCACCAGTGGAAGCCTCCCAACTCGTCTTCTCATGTCAGCATCCAGCCCCTCGTCTCAGACTGCTGACTCTAAAGCTTTCTAAACTCGGTCCCCCTCCTGGGTGAGAGTCACATGGTTGTCCAGGGTCTGCTCCCTGGGTTAGTCCCAGCCTCCCCCTTCACTGTGCCAACCCCATACAACTCTGCCCCAGGGTGGAGACTCCACTGCTCTGGGTTCCTTTGATGTGCCAAGCCCTCCTTCTCCTCTCTCTTCTCCTTCATGTTTTGGTTTCGATCCATTTTCCCTAGGCAGCTTTGTGTGACCAGCCTGTGGCAGGTGACCATGTGGGACCCCTGCAGTCTGCACCTGACCTGTTGACTCATTGTCTCCCCACCTGAACCCAAAGAGTAGTTAGGGTTGTTGCTTTACACAACACTTGTTATTGTAAAGTGTCATGGAGTTTCTGACAGGTGGTTGGTGAGTTTGAACAGCCAACCTTTTGGTTAGCAGTCTAGTACTTATCCTACAGTGCCACACCAGGACATCTTGCTTAACACTTAGCACACACCAAAACCCAAAACCCAAACCAAACCCAGTGCTATCAAGTCAATTCCAAATCACAGAAACCCTCTAGGACAGGGCAGAACTGCCCCATAGGGTTCCTGAGACTGTAAATCTCTGAGGAAATGCACTGCCTCATTTTGTCCTAAGAAGCGGGTGGGTTTGAACCCGCCTCCGGACTTTATGAGTTGTTAAGTGCCATCTAGTTGATTCCAACTCATAGTGAGCCTATATAGGATTTCTTAGGAGTGGCTGGTTAAGTTTAAACTGTCAACCTTGAGGTTCGAACTGACCTTGCAGCGTACTGCAGTAACCCACAGTGCAACACCAGGACTTTGTGATGAACAGCCCAATAACATCCTCTCGATTGTTTGTTAAAGTAATTGATGCAAATTGTTCCCGTCACTGCTCCTGGGTCTGCTGCTCTGCCCAGTTTGGTGGGACAAAGAGATGTGAAGACCCAGACAGCAAAACTGCCTCAGAGAGAGGGAGCTTCCATTGAGTCTTCTGATTGGCAGTGAAAACCATAATTCTTTTTGTTCCAAACCCTTGTTGAAAGTTATCTCCACAGCATGTTCTTTACTTGCTTGTTCAGACCTGTCTGAAGGTTAATGAGCATATAGGACTTTGATGAAGAATGGAGACCCCCAAGAAAAAAAAGCCAGAGTGGGTAGCACAGCTTTCAACTATATACCCAATAGAAAGCTGGAAGTCTGTCTCCACATCTGTGGAGCCTGAATTCAGTCTAGATGACCCAAGCCTGGTGTCCACACGGCCAGAGGCAGCTCACTACCCATGTTCCAGTTTACAGGAGAACGCCATCGGGGATGAAGGAGCTTCTGCGATGGCCAATGCGCTGAGAGCAAACACGGCCCTCACTGCTCTCTAGTAAGTCCCGGGAAGCTGACCCTCTAACCCTCCCATGCAAAACACTAATTTGGTGTACCAGTCAGGTGTGTTGGATTTCTTCATTTTAACACCTGGGAAGTCATTAGGAGAGTTAACACTCTGGGTACAGTGAGTGTTCTTCCTGAAACTTTCTAGGAGACAACTCGACTTCTCACACCCTCAGCACCCAGGTCTCGGTCCTGGGCAGGACAGATCATTAGTTAATAGTTTTCAGTGCTTCCTCCCAGTTTCAGCCCTGGGTCAAGAAGCAGTTGGGACAAAAGGAAGGGAAAGGTAGAGAGAAACTGGAATGGGGGGAGATGTGAGGCTAGAGACCCCAGCTGATGTGGCAATGATCGACTCTCCTGTATCAGCCTCCAGGTGGCGTCCATTGGTGCCCCGGGGGCCCAAGCGCTGGGGGAGGCCCTGGCTGTGAACAGAACCTTGGAGATTCTCGAGTAAGTACTGCAGTCTTCAGCTCTGTCCCCTGCCCTGAGAAACCAAGCTGTTGATTCAAATCCAGTTTGCATGGAAGCTTCCAGCTCATTTTAATAATCTTCATCTAACCTTTCGGAGCCCTTTGGACATTAGCACCCACCTGCATTTTCCACCTCTGGGGCTTAGTGGGAGGCTGCTATCCTGTTTTTTGTGTATGCCGCCATCTGGTGGGGGCCTGTATAAAATTGTAAATCTGAAGAAATGGCCTCATCCCAGCAATCCCAGTGCAAGACCACCTTGGGACATATGTCCCACTAACTGTTTCAAAATCCTATCTTAAAAAAAGATTTAGTTTCTTCATTTCATTCAAAATGCCATCCATTACTGAAAATTCATGGTTTCAACCAAAAAAATCAAAGCATAAAATAATCCCGTTGTAAAATGGATTATGCTTGTCCCTTCTTAAAAGGGATCAGTCCCCACCTTCCTTAGTCTCCCTTTCCCTCCGGGTCCCTCCGCTTTTCCTTTTGCTCTCCTCTCTGGGTTGGCTTTGCCCAGGCTGGACAAAGGCCCTGTTTAGGGCTCTAGGGTGGCCAGTAGCCATTGATGTTGGTCTCTGAGATGCTCCAACTCCTAGGGAGGGGCAGCCTCAGGCTCCGTGAGGCACTTGGATGTGTCCAGTCACCCTGCTCTTATGGACCCAGCGATGCTGAGCACGTTGGGAATCGGCTGGGTGGAGTGAGGCCTCTTCTGTGTTGGCCTCCTGTTTCTCTGAAGTTAAAAAGGAGATGAGAGTGCCACCAAACCACCCAAATTGAACCAGCTTCACCCTTTCTTATGTGCCTTGTTCCTTTGAGTGGGACTTAGTCCAATTGGCTGGGGAAGTGAGGGAAGACAGACCCTGTTGGTGGTTGCTGAAGTCTACGTTTTCTCCATCAAGTCACCCTGTACACTACCAGCCGTCAGCCTGGCACCACACCTTAAGGTTCCCATTCTCCCCGGCAGCTTACGAGGAAACACCATTGGGGTGGCAGGAGCCAGAGCCCTGGCCAATGCTCTCAAGGTGAACTCCAGTCTGCGAAGACTCAAGTAGGTGGTTGTGGAGGCCCTGGGATAAATGCTGGTGGTTTCCTCTGCTGCTGCTTCCTTGTGAAAAAGCAGGGCTCAGATGCTTCCGACGATGACACGGGCAGACCTTGTTCACGGCGCTTTGCTCTACTGTGCTTCGTAGATACTCCTTTGGGAAGTTTGTGTCAAGTCTACTGGTGCCATTTTCCCAGCAGCGTGTGCTCAGTTTATGTTTCCGTGTCCCATTTTAGTTATTCTAGAAATAGTTCAAACTTTTTCATTCTGCACACGCTGCTGCTACAATCTCTAGTTCTACAGACCTGAATGTTCTGCACTGGGAAAACCAAACATTTCGTGTGGCTTGCTTGAAGGCCATCATCGTGGTGGCCTGAAACTGAGCCCACAGTATCAACCAGGTCAGCCTGTAGCCCCCGTTTCATGGCAGACGAGTTGGCTTGCTGGGCTGAGTTGTCATCAGTGGTAAGTAGCTTAGTGTCTGCATTCACGGTTCTCCGTCATCTGTGGCACATGGATGAAGACGCCATGACACCTAACTGGCGCTGTGGCATCTCGGCACCAATCACCCGGGGAACTTTTTGCTCCTCTCTGCTGCGCTACCAGGACCACTTGGCATTGCTTCCTTTTGTTCTGAGGGCTCACCATAGCACATCCATCTTTTTGTTTAGTCTTCAAGAAAATTCTCTGGGGATGGACGGAGCGATATGTGTGGCCTCGGCGCTGTCTGGGAACCATGGACTCCAGTACATCAAGTGAGTGTGGCCCAGCTGTGTCCAGCCCACCCCATCCACCCTTCTGGCTGTTCTTGCTCACCCTGAGGTCGGGCTCTGCCTTTGGCCTGATTTGGGAGCCAGCTGACCCCTATTCCCTCTCAAGCTCAGGAGTATGTATAGGAGGGGTCCTGGAAGTGCACAGAGAATTCTGCATGATGGAGAGGGAACCCCTCAGTCCTCCGGCCCCATTGTCAAGCCCCTTCTCTCCCAGTCTCCAGGGGAATCTCGTCGGGGAGTCTGGTGCCAGGATGGTCTCAGAGGCGATCAGGACGAAGGCGCCCACCTGCACCGTGGAAATGTGAGCTGCAACAGGTCCTGGCAGAGACTTGGCAACAGAAAGACCATTTCCTGGGGAGCCTTCCTGCAGTCTGCAAAGGACGCTGATCTAGCAGGAGAGTTGATCTCCTGCAAAGAGGAAGGAGAGGTGCCACCAGACACCCCGAGCACCTCTCCTGAGTCAAGGTTGGCACAGGCAAGGCCTGGAGGGATCCCTGCTACCCCACAGAGTGGGGCATGGTCTTCACCAAAGGACTCGAGGACCTAGCCCTGAAGACACAATGATGTAACAGGGACAGGACTCACTGTTCTTCCAAAACATGTCCTTAAAAATGATTAAGGGCATCTACAGTGAGCAAAGGGGTGACTCACACAGGGGTATCTACAGTGAGCAAAGGGGAGACCCCACACAGGGGCATCTGCAGTGGGCAAAGGGGCAACCCACACAGGGGCATCTGCAGTGGGCAAAGGGGCGACCCACACAGGGGCATCTACAGTGAGACAAGAGGCCATTTATAAAGAGAAAAGGGTCACCCCACACAGGGGTATTTACAGAGAGAAAAGGGGTCACCCCACACAGAGGTATTTACAAAGATAAAAGATCTCTTCACCATGAAGAAATCTAGCAGACCTGCCTCAAGCATCTGATCAAACTGACTTATCAATATCAGCAGTGAGCCAAATGGACATTATGCGCACCCACGGTGACACACCGAGGACATTTCGCTGATGTGGTATTCTTGCCAAAAATGCTTATTTAAATCTAATCACAAGGGAACAACCTAACAAAATTCATATTGAGTGACATTCTGAAAGATACTTGGCCTAACCTCTTCAAATGCCACTGTTACAAAAAACGAAAAAAGGTTGGCAGTACCCAGTGGAAAGAGATTAGAGACACACAATCTTTGATCAGACCCGAGACAGAGACAGAAAGCTATGAAGATGATTTGGAAATTTGAAGAAATTTGAACTTGGTTCCGGTAGTCTTAGAAAGACATTTTTGCTGGATATACAACTCTAGGTTGACAGATTTTTTTTCCTTTCAGTACTTAAAAAATATTACTTCTCTATCTTTTGATTTGCACTGATTCTGTCCAAGTTGAGAACTTAGTAGGATGAAGACACGGTGACATTAGGCAACTCCTGGAGAAAGCCGTGTCCTGTAGGAGCCAACTGCAGAGTGACCTCAGAGCAAAGGGGTGGAAGAGGAGGCATGGTTTCCAAGGATGGCAAGAGCAAGTCACACTAGGACTAGGAAAAGACCCTTTGTCCCTTCAGTCTCTCCAGTACCTCACTGACAATCTTAACATCTTTCTGGCAAAGGAGAACTATTTACAAGGTCTAGCCCCAAGAACACAGAGAAGACAAAAACAAAAATGGTGGGTTTGGAGGGGAATCAATAAATTGATAACGTGCAGTATTTTTGGGTTTTGTCTTTTCATTTTGGACAGTTCCTATTGCTGTGACTTCAAGTTGTGTAACATCTTCTGCAGTGTCTAATCTGCTGTTCACCCCACTGAGCACATTTTTCATCTCAGGTTTTTTTTCCCATCTCTTTAAGTTTTGTTTGAGATTTCTTTTACATATCTTCCATACTTCTTAACATACTCTACAGCTTGACTATGTGGTTTACATGTTCTTGTTACTGATACAGTAACACTGTATCAGTTCTGGATATTTCTCCTTATTTTCACTCATGGCCATCAAGTCGATTCCAGCACATAGTGGCGCTGTATAGGGTTTTCAAGGCTGTAAATCTTTACAGGAGCAAAGGTTTCACCTTTCCTCCACCGAGCGGCCATTGCTTATCCCTACAGCACCATGTTGTTGTTAGGTGCTGTCCTGTCTGTCCCGGATCATAATGACCCTGTATTGGGTTTCCAAGGAGCAGCTGGTGGGTTTGAACTGCAAACCTTGCAGTTAGCAGTCCAGTACTTATCTTACAGTGCCATACCAGGATTCCCTTTCTCCGTATTATGCCTGGTCATTTAACAATTTTTTTAAGTTTTTCTTGAGAGTATACACAGATGAACAAACACTAATCATAGTCTCACTGATTACATTTTTGGAGTTGTGCAACCGTTTCCACCTTCCTATTCTGAATTGTTCCCACCCCCATGAACATAAAGCCACTGCTTCCTAAGACTCTTATCTAATCTTTAGAGTTGCCGTTGCCAATTTCATCCCATTAAAAGAGTACAATGCTGCGGAACAAACAAGATGGTGGATGGGGTGGATGTGCAGTAAAGGAGCTCCGCCAACAACAACACAGAATACCCAACCAAGCAGGCTCAGGAGATGTCCCAGAACTCTGAACCACATCTAAAGGAATACTTACAAGGTTGGAAGGCTCACAGCTGGGGGAATTTGTGGCAGAAGCAAGAAATCCATTGCTTTCTAGTCCAGGACTCTCGGCTGCTCCAGGAGCCGCCATCTTGGGTTGAGACCAAGCGGGGGAAGGATCGGAACGGCCATAGACACCTGGAAGAACCGCTGAGATAAAGGTGTGGACAATCTTCTCTTTTGTTATCTGTTCATTGGTCCCTTGCTGTCTGCGCACCTCCATTCTGGTGACTATAGGGGTGCCTGAGCTAGTGGGCACCTCAGCCCTACCTTCGGAGGGTTCTACTACACATGCGCACAGATCTCCTTGAAATTTAAAGAGACAGTTTCCAATTAAAACCAAATGGCTGGGCCCTGAACGGTTTACAACTAGAAAAAAGGCCTTAACGGGGATTGTGGAGCAGGACAAGCAGACAAAAAAAGATATAGGCCAAAAATTAAATCCTAAATTACATCAAAACGTCCAACAGTGGCATCTTGAAA